TGCACTCCTTGTGCTTGTGACAACACCAGAAACACAGAAAAAGAAAGCCCCCACGAGAGAAGAAGGAGATCAGAGATATACATGGATTTAAATAGCAGGCTATAGCACCACTATAGCTTCTGGAGAGAGCCCGCGCTAAGCTATTCCTATTTTTCCGCTGTCATTTATGACCGCTATATTACACTTTAGCATCGCTAAATTGCTTAGCTGTAGCTTTAAAATAGCGCCGCTATTTCAATTTTAGCTTTTAGAGTAACAATTTAGTTATTCTATAGTGCCATTTTAAATAATCAACACTTGAAATTGTTAAGTTGGCCTTTTGGAAAATTCAACACTTGAATTTTACTAATCATGCTATAATGCCATTTTAAATAATATTCCCTAAACTCTTAAAGCCTTGAAAACATATCTGTGTTCACTAAATTTCACGATTCCTGTGTTTTTACGAATCAATGACTTGAATTTTTCATAGTTTTCTTAAAAACCGCTATCTGTCGTAGCTCCGCTATAGCGGCGCTATAGCTTTATAGCTTCTGGAAAAAAAGATGCCGCTATTTTCAGTAGCCCGCAATTTTAAACTATGGAGATATATCAGCAAGGATTCCTTAAGATTGTCATGTTTTCTTAGTTGGCATAGTTGGGCTGCAAGAGGACATGGTAGGATCGAGCCAGATCGGCCTAGAGTTCTTGAAGATCCTTCTTCCTGAAATGTATGCAGAAAATTGGTAAGCTCCTATTTTCTGTGTGCTAAATCCGATATGCTGGGATTTACCATTGGAACTTGTGTCTCTATCTGGCTAAATTTATCATTGTGCACGCAGAAGGTACCGGTTGCGATGGCGCGAGCCATCGGAGCGCTGGCATGGGAGCCCGCGGCAGCGAGGGGTCGCTGGTGTGGGTTGCGTGCGCTAGCGGGATCTTAGTTTTTTCAGTGCGGCAGGATGGATATGCGCGAGGGTGGGGGGGCGGCGGGTTGAGAGAGAGTACTAGGAGTTGGATTGGGTTTTACTTTGCGTGGGCTACAAATTTCGCCCCAAAAAGCTTTCTTACTCCTGCACGTGCATCTTTCATTAAAAGAAGTAAAACCGGAACATAGTTTGGGCAAGACCGTATACACTTTGGATGAAACTTAGATAGTTGGCTCGTTTAGGCTACAATAACACTTACTTTGTTTAAAAACGTTTACCGACAGTTTGATTGTCCAAAGAGAAACGCGGATAGTTAATTTATAGCCATACAACGTCATTGCCGACAGTTTACGTGACTTTCAAAGGTTGTACAATTACCAGCACATAGTGTGTAGTCGAAACCAACCATTTGCCAACAGATAACTGTAGGCAAATGTGTGTGGTGTAGTGAATTTGCAACATTAAACATGCGAGAGACCATATATATGAACGCATGAATTAAGAAGCTTTCCGTTGAAGGGAAACGATTAATCAGATCGTCCAACGTAAGGTCAAGGTCTACGGGCGTAATGCATGGCCGACCACGGTTATCCGATGCATCTACAAGGCGACAGTATTCGTCGAAGCAAACCGAACCAAACGCCGTTTCAGTTGGCTTGTGCAAACACGACACGCGCGACGCGATGATGATTACGTACTGAACTCGATAATCCTACGTAGCTAGTCAAGTCTCTTCCTATGATCGTCTAGTTTCGTAGAAACTTCGGTTATCCAAAATTGGCGTACAAAGCTGATTAAATATTCAACCACCCTACCGAACACGCACGGTTGGTTCTCAGGCGCCTCCATTGACGGCCGGCGAGGCACTGGTTACTTGTACTGTTTTCCAACGACGTCGGTGCGCGGTTGTTTCCCTGTAAGTTTCAGCCTAATTTGCTTCACGTTCAGGTAGCTTGACTGGCTTCGTTATGTAAATAAATAAATGGATAAATCGATGCCTTCCATGTAAAGCTTGTCTAAGCAACTGATGGAATCCATCAGTCCACTCTACTACCTTGCAATCCAAGGAAGGTACGCACGGATGATACACACGTCAACTTCCGGCGGTTGTACTAGCTGTCGTAGCTAGCTAGTTATCACTTATCACACAAACGCATGCATGCACTCCTTTTGGATGACGTAAATACCTAACCAACCAATGTTTTTCCTTATATAAATAAACGGCCAATGTTTAATTTGTTCACTTATATTAACTAACCAGAGAGGCAGAGACCTATGACATATATACATACATACATACATACATACATACATATATATATATATATGGGAGAGTATATTCAGTAGCCCGCTACTAAATAAGTTATTCTGTAGCCACCTCCATTCTCTATTTACGATAATGTCAATACATATTTACGATAGTTGGGTTACTATAACACATGGGGATATTTACCATAGCGTTATAGTAAACCACTTAGTAAGGAGTTACTATAATCTCGTAAATTAACATAGTAATTAGCGTAACTCAAAGTGGCTACAGAATAAATTATTTTGTAGCTACCTACAGGATAGTAGTTCTATATATATATATATATATATATATATATATATATATATATATATATATATATATATACGGTAAGGCTATTCTGCAGCTAGCCACAGAATAATTTATTCTATAGCCATCTTGATTTATGATAATATTTGTACCAATTTACGATAATAACAATACACATTTACGATACATGGGTTACTATAATTCAAGATAACACTTACCATAATGTTATAGTAAATCTCTTATGAGAGAATTACCATAATCTCGTAAATTAGTATAGTAATTATCGTAACTCAAAGTGGCCATAGAATAACTCATTCTGTGGCCAGCTACAGAACAGTATATATATATATATATATATATACGCGATGTATAAGCGCCAAGTTCTCTCTCCGGTCTGAGCTGCACACGCATGCCGCCACTCGCAGTGTGTATATATGTGCCAAAGAATAAAGGGTACGTCTATGATATATATAGGCTCCACCGCGAGTGGCGCCAGAGCGCACGACGCCATGCACACGTAGCTCAGAATAGATAGAACTTTGGCGCCCTAAGAGCAGCTCCAATATGTGTGCTAAGGAGGTGCAAAAGATGAGGCAGAAAAAGAAAAACAAGGTGCAATACATTGGACAGCATATGCTACCTTAGAACCTGCTTGCACCTGTTGCTTATTTTTGCACCTGGTGCCAAGCATAACCAAACAATATTCGTCACTACATTCTCTCTCTATCAACCATCCATATGAGGATAAAACTTATGTCTATATATATATTTTATTATATGTTGGAGCTTGTTTAACCAGTAGAACACCATGTGACATGACTAGCCATGCACCTTGCTAAGAAATTACACATTGGAGCCGCCTTAAGGCTACCACATCAGAGATATATAGCTCTCTTAAAGTGTATCAGTGTGTTTGGAACTATATCATAGAAGGGGACATACTCCAAATAGGAGACTCAGGTTCCAATAGGTCTCTCTATGATGTAAGTAATATCAGAGATGGGGAAAAATATAGGCCATCTCCAATATCGTCCCAAACATCAAAGACACAATTGCTGACCAAGGATCCTAGAGTGATATGGGGCCCACCTATCATAGATGGTCGTCCAATGGGACGTGTACAGTTGAGCCCTGTCTCTAATTATTATTTAGAGAAGGGTGTTGTTGGCCCGCATCTGATATAGTTTCTTCTTCGTATGTTTCTGACATAATGCAAAACCAAAATGACTTATAATTTTGAATGGATGGAGTATACATCATCTAATCTTTTATTACTAATTGGAGGCCTTCAGTGAAACGTCCACATTAATACTCAATAAAACCTCAGCGTTAATACTCACATGACGCGTTGGGAAAAAAATCTTAGTAATTATCACAAAAAATTGCATTGATATTACATTTTATTTCGTGAGTCTAAACATTATCACTAATAATAGCAATTAGATCCGTTCTATACTTTAATTTCACAACAATTAATCAACTATGCCCTTAAAAAAAATAGTTAAAAATAGAGAAGGTAACCTCCTAAATTTGCATCTATTTTATCCAACACTGTCATTAAAAAATAAATTAAAACAATCCCTTAAATTTGTATTTAAATTACCCAGGTATGCCTTTGTAAAAGATAATGCAAAATAACTCTAATCTTGGCTTTTAAATTACCCACATATTCCATTATCTAAGTTAATGCTCCTAAATTAATCTTTTAATTTTTGTCCAAATTATCCTAACTCTGCTGTTATAAAAATAAAATAAAATATCCTTGTTGGAGTCATACCTCCGGAGACGCACACTGTGAGTTAAGCGTCAATATAAACTACTCCCTCCGTCCCTATATTATTGTTGTTTTTGGTTTCCGTGCTGTAAATTTAACTAGATCTGTAGAAAATGCGTGCAACATTTATATCTCTAGATAAATTTATTATGAAAATAGATTCAACGATGTATCTAATTATATTAATTATATACCATAAATATTAATATTTTTATATAAAATTAGTCAAAGTTATTTTTTGGGAAGCGAAAACGACAGTTATTTAGTGACGGAGAGAGTATACTTTATCAGTTGCCCTTAACAAACCACATTATTGAAGCTGAATTCATTTTAAGAAAGTTAGCATTCGTATCAATGGCCTAAATATTACCCTAGTCCTGTGATGGAGTCATTAATCTTTCATGGACAGGATCTCGAGAAGATCGCGAGCACTAAAACTTGTTGTACGTACTAAGTTGCAAACTGACGTGCGTATCAATAGGACGCGCATACGCTTATCGCCAGGCAAACTGAATCAGTCAGCTGTAAGTAGCTTGTAGTGTAAGGAATAAGAGACGCAAAGAAAATGCAGATGAATTTCCCCGACGTGTTACAAATACGTCCCACGCGTCTTAGCGAAGACCCTGCTCCAAACTTTATAAATAGTTCTGCACCTCCTTCGCATTAGCTTATTCGACTTTGCTAAGGTAGTTCTTTCGCGTCTTCTTAAGTATACCAGACAAGATTCACAAGAAGAAAACCTAGACTAAGTTCGATCGTCATGAGGCAGTACGAGGATCCGCCGGAGGAGATCTCCCACCCCGCGCACCGGGGACACATTCTCAAGCTGGTGACAAACGCCGGCACGACGTTCGTCTGCGACGGCTGCAAGGAGCCGGGCGACGGGGCCAGGTACACCTGCGACTGCTGCGAGAGCCCCAGCTTTGACCTTCACCCGCCCTGCGCCCTCGCGGACGAGGACACCACTCTGGAGCACCCGCTGTTCCGCGGCAGCAAGTTCGTGCTCCTCCCGGAGCCCCCGGCCCCCGTCGACGGCACGGTCTGCGACGCCTGCGGCGAGCCCGCGCGCGGTCTCGTGCACCACTGCTTCGAGGACGACTTGGACCTCCACCCTTGCTGCGCGCGCCTGCCGGACCGCATCCTCCAGGACGGCCGCGTCTTCGAGCTCCGCCGGAAGACGTCCGGGGCGTGTGGCCTGTGCGGCGGCGACAGCGGGCGCCGCCGCAACAAGTTCTGGGCGTACCGCTCCTACTTTGACGGCGAGGCCATGGACCTGCACGTCGCGTGCATGAAGGACATGGCTCGCCTCAGCTGGGAGGCGTCCTACCAGAGCCGGAGCGGCGGCGGCCAGATCGTTCTGGCGAGCCTGCCCAACATTGAGCGCACGCTGCAGAGCTTGCCCGTCAACAAGCGGAGGAAGAGTGGGTTCGACCACTTCGTCAAGATCGTACGCACGGTGGCGGGCATCATCATCGCCGTCATCTTCGGAAACCCCGTGGCCATGATTGCTGCCATAGCGGGGCCTGGTGGTCTTCTGCGTGGTTAGATTCTTATAGGCACTACTACACAACGTGGCTTTAGTCCCGGTTGGAAAAGGCCTTTTGTCCCGGTTTCCCAACCGGAACCAGCATTCCAGGATTAAAGGTGGGGATCTTTAGTCCCGGTTTACCACAACCGGGACTAAAGATCCTCCCAGCTTAAAAAAAAATAATGCCTCCCACCGCTGCGTCCCGTGAGATTCGAACCCAAGACCTCATGCACTGCCTCGCACGAAGCTTACCACCCCACCTACACAACACATCTGACAATGGATGGGATGCTTTCATTTTGAACTAACCCATCGACCAACCGGGACTAAAGGGTCATTTAGTCGGGGTTGGTGTTACCAACCGGGACTAAAGGGTCTACCTTTAGTCTGGGTTGGTATTACCAACCGGGACTAAAGGTTGGAGGACTTTTTAGTCCCGGTTGGTGGCTACAACCGGGAGTAAAGGAACATTTAGTCCCGGTTGGTATTACCAACCGGGACTAAAGGTCCTTTCATCCCGGAGGCAAAAAATGCCGAGGCTAATGCTAAATTGGGACATCGTTCTAAAGTCTGTTCTCTAGTAGTGAGGGTTATTCTTTAGTTATAGTATTTTGTTAGTTGTTTTTTTTAGAAAACGTGTGAGTTCGTTGGTGTACAGAGCTTTAATGTATTCATTCAACTGAAGATTGATTTATTCAAGCATGTTTAGTTATATCCTTTGTTACACAACCATGGAATTGTGTATATACAGCGGTGTTCTAAATGGCGGGCTAAGATGGTATAATATCCAACATATTTAAATTCTTTATTAATTATATATTGGCTAATTCTTCTGTGACAATGGCGCTCCCCGCGGTCCTCCTCCACCGGGAGCCCCAATGCTCGCAGATCCGGCTGCCATGGCGATCCCCGCGCCAGGCTCTCTCTCTCTTCTCCTATGTTGCAATTGCATGTTTCAATTGTTTCAGACATTTGAGAGGTATGTTGAAGTGAAATCATATGGATGTTGCAAAAGTAGATCGGGGGGATGTTGCACATGTTTGCATATGCTGCAAGTGTTCCAGAGGCATTGCAAGCATTTTGTTCGAAATGTTTCATTTGTTCCCAAACATATTGTTGCATGCGTTTGATCTGGATGTTGCATATGTTCTACACATATGTTGCAGCACTATGTTCCAAAATGTTTTATCTATTTTAGTCTTCTGTTGCAGCAAGTGTTTTCAAGTTACAAGTTGTAAGTGTGCTATCTAGATGTTGCATATGTTTTCACACATATGTTGCAACTGTATGATTCAGATGTTTCATTTTTTTGAGACGTATGTTGCAATCAAGTATTTCATGTTGCGTGTGTTTCATGTTGTTTAGAGAGTCAGGGGCGTCGAAGAATGGAGCGGGGCGAGACGGTGGACGTGGCATACGGCGCTCTGGGGGCCCGCATCGGGGAGCACGATGGGGCGGGGGTGCGCCTGCAGGGGCGAGGCGAACGGATAGGGATGGGGGCACGCATGTCAGGCGTGCAGGGGAGGCGTCCGATGGAAGCTGAGCCCACGTGCATGTGTGTGGGAGAGAAGGGGTTGTCGACGGTCGCACGGGCATAGGCAAAGCAGCAGCGTACATGGGCGTTTGGACGTGCGCTGTCCGTCCGGACGTCCAGGTGCTAGGCGTTCCGTAGATCGATAGAAGCACACTGGACACCCTAGAGAGTCTAGACCCAGATGCTCCTGCCGAATCCACACCTCTCTGCCGAGAGGCCCAGAGCGATATGGGGAGGGGGAGCACAAAGAGACCTTCCTTCACTCACATGCCCCTTAAGCGGCGAACCATGGAAGTTTGAACTTCAGTGGCCACCCTTGCAATTCTTGGCTCAAAACCTTGAACTTCAGCAGCAACCATTAAAATATTATAGTCCATTCATTCCAAATTATGTATTATGCCTTAGATACGTAACAAAAATTATATTATCTAAAAAAACCCAGGACAACTTGCCATTTGAAACAAAGGTGGTATATTATTAAGAGTCTTGTCTTGGGGCCCTGAATTCCAAAACCAAATAACTTTGGCTAAAATTATAAATCATATGACATGAATGCAGCACGTTGCACACATAATTATCAACATTCACCAGCAAACAAATGCGTCATACGTTCTGAAAACAATAGAATGACAAGCATAAAACATTATGCGGCTCACTACGACAAGCTCGACACTGAAAGTACAGATCATATGGAATAGTTATCTAGTATCTGGTTTTGGAGTTCGGTAGCCAAAATCAAACTTTGGAAACAATTGGGGGACCAAGATGGATTATAACCCCAGACAAAGGCATGGACCACTAAAGCAACTCTAGCATGGACCATTAAAGCAGTGATTAAAATTTAAGAGGTGTCACGTGATGGTGTCGCATGGGGTGTTTGAATATTAATAAAAAAATAAATTATAGAATTCGTCAATAGTCCACGAGAAGAATTTATTAAGCCTAATTAATCTATAATTAGCATATGTTTACTATAGCATCACATTGTCAAATCATGGACTAATTAGGTTTAAAAGATTTGTCTCGTAAATTAGTCACAAACTATGTAATTAGTTTCATAATTAGTCTATATTTAATACTCCATGCATGTGTCTAAACATTAAAATTTACGAGGAAGAACCAAACGTCCTCGTGCTCCTGTGGCCATCACCTGTAACAGCATCCGGTGGAACAGCATGAACACTTGATTGATGAGGCATAAATGCTGATGCGTATCTTGGAATTTGTACTTCAGCTAGTAAAATTAAACAGGGTACACCGGCACAATGAATTGTACAACCATTCATAGTATCAGTAACTAAGTGAATGCCATAGCCATGTGTTGTTGAAGAGAACTAATTGACCATGTAAAACCAGTGGAATTTGTAAACAGATAATTAACAGCAGCATAGTTCATTAAAAAAATAGTTAGCTGTAAAAATTATAAGTGACACACTTGGTGAAAGAATCTACTAAATATGAAGTGAAAATGCACTTGGCGGACAAAAACCATATTGAATGTATGTTCATATATAATATGAACAGATGAAGAAGCGACAATGTTAATGTTTATCATGATATCTTTGAATCTCTACTCCTATAAAAAGCCTCAAAGGGAATCAACAGCGTTTTTTCGGCATGCCTCCCCGATACGCCCTACATTGAATTTCTGCCCCCAGAACACAGCCCCCATCCCCAGCACGCGTGGCCCCTGGCCCCAAATCGCCTGGCCACCGCTGTGCAGCCTGGCAGCCACGCAGCTTCTTGCCCCTCCCTGCTCCGTCGGTCCGCACCATGCCCTGCCCGGCCACCACGCTGTCCCAACAACCTGTCATGCTCGCATTCATGGGGGCCAACTCCGAGGGCAACGTGCTCTCGGCGCTGCGCCGCAGCATTAGGGACCCCAGTGGCATGCTGCCGAGCTAAGGCCCCATGCTCGTCAACCCCTACACCTGGTTCTGAGGGCTGCCTGCGACCATGACAACCATGTCACCCGCCTGTGAGCCGCCGCCTCCGAATTCTCCCTCGCCCTGATCTCATCCTTTTTCCCCTGCGCCATTTGAGTTGGGGCCACCGTGGCTTGTGGGTGGTGCTCATATCTGAGCTTGTGTCCTTGTAGGAGCACACAATCATGTTTAGGCATTTAGCTGTGTGTTGATTCCCAACTTCAATAAACCGTTGATGGGGGAACTGTTGTTACATGCAACTTGTAACCTGTCAATCTGTGGATTTGTTACTGTGCCCTTGACTCTGAACTGTGGTTTGTTTCGACGACATATTGGCTATTAAATTGATGGCTGCATCTTAGGCAAACAACTAGGAGTAGGACTTCAAGTTTAGTTTGCGAATTGATTTGTGAAGTTAGTGGAGCTGAGTTAGGACTGTGTGATCTTGATTACCCTAAACTGATCGCCAAATTTTTGTGTCTTGTGCAGCTAGCCGCTCAGCGAGTTAATTTGGGGGAAAAAAGAAAAAAAACATGGTAGAGGATTGTTAAGGTTGTGGCGCGAATAACAAAGGTGGTGGAACCTTCTACATACAAGAGGCTGCTAAGGCCCAAAAGGTACAGATATGTTAGCTACTGTGCTAGAAGTATGGATTACAATAACCAGTAGTGTGTAAAAGAACAGTCATTTATATGAGCTTTCAAACAAAGGCCAGAGCACCATAATAAATACCGAACAAATAACAAATTCTGCGGAAAACAGTTGGCCAGAGCACAAGAAAACAAAAGGAAAACTCAGTCAAAAGCATGTAAAATTGCTGCCCCTGCAATTTATATGAGCTTGGCAACATATTAGAACATCACTCTTTTATTTTTATTTTATTTTTACTTTCAACAGGGGGGAGGCGTTCCCCACCTGATTTATTTGATTATAATGGCTCCGAACGGCCTCATAATGTACAGATATTGCTTATAGAAACACCAAGGTGGTTACAATTTTCCTAAGCGATTAAAGCAGCCTAGGGTCCAACGTTTCAGCCCTGGCCTGTTGTAGCCATTTCTAAGATATGGCACCATACGTCGGCAACTTGCTTTTTCTTTCTTGGAAGTTTGAACCTCCATTGTTCTGCAGCAATCTTGCAGTTTATTGCTTTTGATCAATGAAGTGGATTCTTGTCGAAGATTTTTCCGTTCTGGCCTTCCACAGTGCAAACAACCCAAAGCGCTATGAAGGCGCAGAGAACTCATCGATTGGAGTGCGCCTCTAGTCGTTGAGATGGTATGTAAGAGATTCAGTTGTGAGTTGCATCATTTACGGTAGATGAAGCCTCTGCCGTAAGCAGAGTCGCAATGGGGCGGCCGTTGATGATGTGCGCCCGATGTTTAAATGCGCCTCGTTACATACCTCACGAGGTTTTATCATCCGAGTATTCTCTTGGTGTGTAGCACCGATCATGCATGGATTTTTCCTTGAACTAGAAGCCACATGAAAAGCTGCACTCTAGGCGGTGCATGGTTGTCCTGCACGAACTTAGCCCTAGGGTCATCCGGTTGGCCCTTGGCTTACTGATGGTTATAAATAGCACCTTTGTCCATACTGAATCTCCCTTGCTGAATAAAGATGTCTGTTGGTCCAGTGTTTGCGACAGTGTGGTCGCCTGGATGATCTGTAGTAGGTGATGCAGGTCCAAGCATGCCCTTTGAGACAGGCGCGGTACCAGAGTCAGTTGCAGGCCGGTGTGTAACATCTGGGATACCGTAGCCTCCTTGAACGTACAATGGTGAAGAGTGCGGGTAGGTGTCGACAAGGGCCTCATCTCCGGTCAAACATTAGACCAAAAGAGCGAGTTGTTTCCATCTCCGAGGGCAACCGTTGTGATAGCTTGATACAGAGGTAGAATTGTCGAAGCACCTGCCAGTGGTCACCATGAATATCACCACTGAGCGTTGCAATTGAGGCCCGTCCCTGGACCCATTGTGCCCATGCAGAAAATTCGGGGTGATGAAGCTTATGGATGAGTTTGAGCAGCAGGCATATGTTCTGTGTGCCCATGTCCTTGATCCCCAGACCACCTAGATCTCTTGGCTTGCACACATTGATCCATGCAACGAGGCAGTTTGCTGGTTTGGATTTTCATGTTTTGTCTGCACTCCACAGAAAGGCACGTCTTCTCCTGTCAAGTTGATCAATCACTGATGGAGGCAACTGTAGTGAGCTCATGAAGTAGACCAGTTGAGAATCCAGAACCGAGTTAACCATCACAGCTCTACCCATAGGGTTCAGTAAGGTTGCTTGCCATGTACTAAGATATGTATCAGTCTTCTTGATACAAGGCGTGTATGCTGACAGTGGGAGCTTGTGCACCGACAGTGCCAGCCCCAGATAAGGCTGTGGGAAGGATTCTTGCCTGCAACCCAGAACCTGAACGCATTCCTGGGTTATATTGTCAGTCATATGAATTGGCACCAACGTGCTCTTGCAATAATTTATATGTAAGCCAGAGAAAGATGCAAAATCATCAAGAATGTTCTTCAGTGCAGCCACCCCAGTGGTGTTGCCTTGAAGGATGATTAACGTGTCATCAGCATATTGTAGCACTGTACATGGTAAGCCATCTTCCGATGGGTGTTTGATCTCAGAGCATCTAGCAATCATACCCTGAAGAGTCTCTGCAACTAGAAAGAACAGGTAAGGCGAAATAGGATCACCCTGACGAAGGCCTCTCTTGCATGTGATCCAAGGCCCCGGACATCCATTGACTAGCACTGCGGATTTCGAGGAGGTTAGGAGAGAGCTGATCCACTGATTCCATTTGTCTGGGAAGCCCCTCGCGGATAGGATACTGAACAAACCATCCCAGTTCACTGTGTCAAAGGCCTTGGCAAAGTCCAGTTTCAGAACTAATGCGGGTTTCTTTCTCTTGTGACAAACTTGTACCAGTTCCAAAGCGTATATGAAGGTATCAGCGATGGATCTCCCCTTGATGAAACCTGTCTGTTTGATGTTTATAAGCTTCGGAATCTCACCCTCTACAGTCTCTTGGTTAGCACTTTTGAAAGAATTTTTAGGTTGCGATTACGTAAGCATATTGGCCTAAATGAGTCAACATCCACCGCCGCCGGCTTCTTTGGTATCAACACCATATGTGATCACATTAATCGGATCCAGGCTGATTTGTCCCCCATGAAAAGCAGACATGAAGTTCATAACTGCACCTTTCTTGTCTCCCATCTTTGCTCTGTAAAAGGGTGGGCCAAAACCATCAGGTCCCGGAGCCTTTGTTCAAGTTCATTGATAATGAGCTGACTTTGTTTCTTGCTCGAGTGAAGGGTCTTTGTTATCGAATTGCTTGGTGTGCTCCTCTGTCTCACGTAGATGTCTTTGCAGATGCGAGGGCACCGAGTCACCGGGGACCCGATAATGGACTTGAAGAAATCTGTCGAGTCTTTGTTGTCTTGCCATCATGATGACGACCTCGACCATCAACCCTCACCATTTTGATATAGTTGCTCATGAGCGTTGGGTTGCATGTGCATGATGAAAAGCGGTGTTGGAGTCACATTCTTTGATTGCCCGTTGCTTACTTATTTGCTTCGATGAGGTTGCTTTGGCTTTGAGCTGTTCTGCAAGGTTTCTTGAGCTTGTCTGCGAGCCTAAAACTCATGTGTTGACAGAGCTCTCGTCTCTTTGAAGAAATCAAACAATTTGAATAATGAATTCTGAGTTGTGAATTAGGTAATTGGGTGGCCTTATACACCTCGACCAAACCTTAGCCGCCGCCTTGCGTCGACTTGATGTACGAGGCCGGATGCGCGGCGTACGCTCGTTCATGCGTCATTGCCAACCCGCTAGGGACAAGTAGGAAGAAAGGATTGATGTCGAAGCCGTGCACGTTCGAAAGCGGAAAAAGCGACTTAGGAAGGCTTGTGGAAAGCGACGACAAAAGCGGAGTGTGATCCGAGGTCGGTTTATGGAGGAGGAAAGGCTAGTGAGTGGGAAGATCAAGTCGAGATCGTTGTTAGTGAAGACCTGCCCGGCCCGTGCCGGGATAGGGTGTGGCTGGCCGTTGGTCCGGTGTAAAGCCGATCGAAGCTCGACTTTGAGACAAGCGAAGGTCTTGGATGGTTTCGTTGAAAGCATTGGAGAGTGGCACACTAAAGCGCCCATTGTTCTTGTCGATTGGTGCGGCGCACAAGATTGAAGTCCCCGGGAGGATCCGGGGGCCTGAATAAGAGTCTAGGTTACGAAGTCGCGCATACTGCGTGCGAGAGCGGTATTGAGCCACGCGGTCCGATGGACCGTAAGTGTTGGTGACAGTGAAGTCGAGTGCGAAGCATTCTGGAGACGAAAGCGGTGGTGAGAGTGTGAGGTCGATGAAATGTTGTTTGAGTGAAGAGGCGGGATCCCATGCCGTCGAGAATTCCCCCCCTTGTGCGTCGCCAAAGGCGCAAACACATAGGAAGAGGAGAAATTGATGGGTAGGAAGGCTTTGGCTTTGTACAAGTTTATGGTGTCGAGTTTGGTTTCTTGTAGGCAAATTATGTGATGAGTACAGGCCCGATCTTCCGAGAGGTAGCCGGTAAGTTCGATTTGTGGAGATCTCGACGTTGGCGATCCGGCTTCAAATCGAGACCACGATTGAACCCTCGCAACGTTACACCACCGCTCCGTTGGTTATCAACCAAGCACAACTTGATTGACCTCGCCAAGAAGGCTTTTCCGCAAGCGAATCGAAGAGCACAAGCAAGAAGGTAAAACACGCAATCTGAAATTGCAAATATGAATGACGCGAATATCAATAGAGGGTTCAAGAACTCAGTTCCAAAGGACTAATCGACACGATGGAGAAGATCAAAACGGGGCCTGGATCTTTGTAAAAGGATTTGTCACCACGGTTACAATGAACGATTGTTTCTCGATGGAAAACTAAACTCTAAACAAAACCCAATTGTGTAGCAGCGGTGGCGGCTGTGTTTATAGTCTAAGACTCGACCTAGGGTTGGGGACGGCCGGGGGTTGGGCGCCCACAACTTGGGCTTAAGGCCCGACACGATACATGGCCAAGTTGGCCCAAATAGGTGATGCAGCACCTTGTCGTGGTCACACAGAATGATCCACGGACCTTCTGGAGCTGGGACCAGATCAAAACGACGGCGTCGTCGTCCCTTTCCAACGCATCCAAGAACGGCCCGTTTCGGCGTCGTATGAGGAAGTTATGACCGAAAGCAGTGACGGCGTGTCTCGCTGAATCCGAGGGTGACGTGGCAGCTGAGTTGGGAACGAATTACAACTTGGGGAAGACCATGGCGTCGGTGTGTCCAGCGTGGCGATGTCCTCATCATCCTCCCTTCTCGAATTGGAGTCGTCCTCGACTCCATCTTGGCGATATCCTCATCATCCCCTCCTTGTAGAATTGGAGTCGTCCTCGACTCCATCCCATCATCGCCGAACTCTGCAAAAGATTAGTGACGGCGGGCAATGCACCGAGCATAAAAGGTTGACAAAACATAGTATAACATGGTGCATCAGGATTATCACATAACTCAGCGATGAGTAGCAGGAGTTGTAGCAAGAAAAACACCTCCTTTTAACTTAATCCCATTATTTTTAGCAATATCATTGGAGGTTTATTTTTGATCTCATTAGCATGTTTAATAATATCCGTAGGAGACAAAGGCAGCAATGTAATTTTCTTGTCCTTATGTATGATAGTGTATGTATTAGTTCTACCATGGTGTAAAAGCATCATTATCAAATTCCATGGGCGACCTAACAAAATGGAACAAGCTTGCATAGGGACAACATCAAAATCAGCGATATCATGATAAGAGCACGTGAAAAAAGCTAATGCGTGCTGATTTAGTTACCTTAGTCTTACCACTATTATTGAACCATTGAAGTTTATATGGATACGAATGTTGTCGTGTGGTCAAGCCAAGCTTGTCAACCAAATCTGAACTCACCAAATTGTTGCAACTCCGCTATCAATAATAGTGAGAACACGACAACCCGCACAATGAGATACATGTGGAACAAATTGTGGCGTTGGATCTTCATCTCTTCTTCATGTCCCACATGTGTACTCAACACACGCTGCACAAGAAGGCTAGGGTAGTCCATGGCGGCAGCTCACGGAGTCAATGGTGATGGTCTCCTTGTCTTGATCGCCCTCGGTGGGATCTGCATCAATGTTAGCGACAAGGGCTAAATCATCTTCAACATCACTAGCACTTACATATCCATCCTCGGTAGCAATGAAAGCGCAGCGGCCCGGGCACTCCTTCATGACATGTCCCATGCCTTTGCATCGGTGGCAAATGATTTTAGAGCTGGACGAGGAGGAGCTAGTAGAAGCACCGGAGTTCCACCTTTCTTCAAATTGTGGAAGCGCACATTAGACAATTTACATTACCTCGAGAAGAAAATGGAGGTGTAGATGGTCGTGGTGCAACAGGAAGCTTAGGCGTCTCCGGCTCGGAACGCTGCTGAAAATTCCTCCCATTGTTAGACCTAAAAAGGCTGGTGTTGTTTGCGTCCTCATGCTTCTCGTTCGCCTTAATAGCAAGATGATACAATTGGGAAAAATTACGCCATTCTTTGTAATCAAGTATGTTACGTATATCATGGTTTAAACCACCAAAAAATCTAGCACTAGCATCATCATCATCTTCATTTATACCACAACGTGCTAAACCAATAAGCAATTCTTGATAGTATGCTTCCACTCCTTTATCACCTTGTTTTAAAGTTTGTAGTTTCAAAGCGTAAATCACGTTGGTAATAAGGAGGAACAAAAGCGAGATTTCATCGTTGCTTTAAAACATTCCAAGTTTGAGGCACAAATGATGACATTATTAGCATTGCAAAGATCACTCCACAGAACAAAGCAAAATTAGTAAACTCACTAGTAGCAAGTCTAACTCTATGCTCGGGAGGAACATTATGAGAATCAAATTTTTGTTGAACACAAGCTCCCAATCTAAATATGCCTCGGATCAACATTACCGGCAAAAGGAGGTAGACTAAATTTAATTTTAGCAAAAGGATCATTATTACCATGATTATTACCTCCCATGCATGACGATTGAAGTTGAGGCGGCGGCGGCACCACCACCGTCGACATCGCATCTTCATCACCAAAAGCATCCGCATCTTCATCATCGATGACGATAAAGGCGGAGGGCGTTGCTCAATCTGTTCAATGCGGGTGACCAGATTGTTCACGTTCTTGCGCGTCACTCGGTCATAAGATTGCGTTGTTCGGTCATGAGCGTTGCAAGCTCGCCTATGACACGCACTCATTGAAGTCCGTCGGAGTTTCCGCCATGGTTAGAAGATAGAAAAAGACAACACCAAAGTATTATCCCTATCAACTAAAAGGAAACAAGTGGTGGTGGTGGTGAAAGTGGAATGCAAAATCACAAGCGGCTTACCACCGTCTTGCTGTATTCTTACCAACGTAAGCAGAGCAAAACCAAAGTGGCGAAGCAATACATTGTGGGCGTGGGTATGATTGCAAGATGAACTGTCTTGTGAGAAGAATATGTGGAGCTATGGGTAGGCACACAATATGACAGCAAGGATTAGCAATTAACGAGTGCAGAGTAGCGATTGTTCAATCTGGATCCAAAGTACAAGTCACAGTCTTTGGCTAAGACATGTCGAGACGTAGCGCAACAAGGTGAAAACAAAGGACGATCGAAAGAACTCACAGAACAAGCAAATAGCCCGGATTTCTCCTTTTTCCTGAATTTTTTCCCAGATTTTTCCAAAAGGCACAAACTTTTTTTTTTATTTTTTCACTAATTTTTTATACTTTTCTCTGAACAAGGATCACAAAAGATGCAACCACAAAAATTGGCACCTACAACTGAGGTGGGATGTGGTCTACAGAAATTCAACACGTTCTCTGAAAAGCGTGCAAAAACTTTGACAATTTTTTTTCTTTATTTTCCTGAATTTTTTTGGCAATTTTGATCGCTTAAGTACTGGGATTTCCGGACTACCGGGATTATGGGAGCTTAAGTACAGGAATTTGATCGCTTCGGTGATTGTTTTTGTACTTACGTTCTTATGATTTGGTCGGTTCTGTTACAGCTGGCATCAGAGCAAGATTCGACACTAAACATGTCATTTGTGTATTTAAAACAAAAGTATTTGTGAAAATCCTAAATTAAATAATAAGTATTGCCAGTGGTCATATCCCTTATGCCCAAATAAGGACTCTTAGG